TGGTTTTAATTATTTGTTCTAAATTACTAATCCACTGTGCTATGTGGAGAAAAAGAAATTCCTCCCCCCCCCTTTTTTTCCTTCTTTTTTTTTTTTTTTCCAAGGGGTTTTACGGAGGATTTCAAAAGAGAAAGTCCGTTTGGAATGTTTGGAATGTCTCTGAATCAACAACAAAGAGTCTTGAAAGCTTTAAGGGAGTAGCTCTAATTAAATTATAAGAGATTATTTCTTTAATTCTGTAGCAGGAAGCTGGAGATAACAAATGCAGAAGCTGTAAACGCCATTTTGAAGACAATTAAACAAAAGAGGTTTTTATAACATTGAAGCTGGTATTTCAGATAGAGAAAGGTTTTAAAGTTCACAAGTTGGTCTTTGCTCGTATTGATTTTTAATAGTCTCTTTTCTAAAGATTGTCCTGAGGGGGAGGGGATCCTGTCTAGTGCTGTGAATAACAGCTGCGAAGTTCAGGTCGGAGTTGAATGACTCAGCTTTGGGTTGATTCTCCCCCTCCGTCCACAGCTCACAAAGAAACAAACTGTGAACTTCAAAGAAGATTCTTACCAGCTGAGATTCCTCACTGCTTTTTTCTTGTCTGAAAAAGAGAGTTATCTTCTTGATATTGAGTAGATAACGATCCTGAATTCTGGGGGCAGCTCTGTTAAGCTGCCGACCGGCGACAGGCCACTCCCCGGAAGCCAGAACAAGGATAGTTGATAGAGCACTAAACTTAGATTACTAATCTTACTTTATTTTATGCCACCTTTATTTTAATAAATAACTCAAGGGGGTGATCAGACCTAATACACCTTCCTTCCTCCTATTTTCCCCGCAACAACATTCCTGAATCACTGCATATTTCTATAAACTTTATAGAATTGACATAGAAAGATATGCTGGGAAAGCATTGCTTTTTATTTGCAAGAAGCATATAAAAGCTGACATGCAATATACAAAATATTGACACTGGATTCTTTCATAGAATCACTATGGTTTACAATACCTGACCACAAATATAAATTAGATCTAGAGATATGCTGTCACTCACCCGAATAAAAAACTGAGGAAGATAAATGTGAAATTGCTAAGTTCTTAACAAAAATATGTGCCACATTTTTCAAATTATGAAATGGTATTGGAAAGTAGCCGAATGTGACATCAATTTTTTTTAAAAGAACTAAGGGGTAAAAAGAGAACATATTGTTCAGCTGGCAGAATGTCCCTACGAAAGGGATTGGAAACAAACCTGACAATTACATACTATTCCAGTTACCTTGTTTGAAAAAAAGAATATGATTGAGATTAAAAAAGCAAAGAAGATCGCAACGAAAGTTATCAGAGGTTTGACCATCTTCCCTACAAAGAAAAATTTGAATCTTTGGGATTTTACCAGCTAAAAATGTAGGAAGACATAAATAAGATAATGAAGAAAGTAGACAGGGAAGGTTTTTTCCTCATCTCTCGAAACACTAGGAATGGGGCCATTAAATGAAAACAAGGGAAGGAGATTTAGAACAGACAAAATAAAACACTTCTTCATATAGTAAATAATCTGTGAAATTCATTATTATAACATGCAGCACAGGGTTCTTACTTCTTCAGCTTTAAATGGAAATAGTATTGATTTAAAAGAGGAAGACAATGCTATCAAGGATTATTAATTTTGAGACTCCATGGAACCTTTGGATTAGCGGTAGCATGCCTTCAGATACCAATTGCAGGGAAATAAAATCTCCACCTCTTCAAAGCGCTCTAGAGACTTCATTGGCTACCATGAGAAACAAAATGCTAACTATCGTGATCCAGCAGGGCTATTTTTTAAAATATTCTTGAGGGTTATGGTATCATTCCCAGTATAATTAATTTATATATTCCAGGCTCTTTTTCGTCCGGTGGCCATGATGGTTCCAGATTATTCCATGATTGCTGAGATTTCTCTGTATTCTTTTGGGTTTAATGAGGCCAAAGTTTTGGCAAAGAAGATCACTACCACTTTCAAACTGTCTTCTGAACAACTCAGTTCTCAGGTAAATATGCATGTCCATCAATTTGGTAATTCATACCTGAATGAGGAAGACATGGGAGCTATCTGTTTCTTTGATCATTTCATATTGATCATACACAAACATTAAAACATGAGATTTGCTTTGAACAAGTTGGTACTACTTTTCTTCTTTAGAAAGATGATTCAACAGCAGCTGAAGTACAAGGTTTTTATACAAATCGCTTTTCTAGACTTAACTAAACAGAGTTCTTGATTTCACAGCTTGTCATTTTTCATATATGTATGTATGTACCATAGGATCATTATGATTTTGGAATGAGAGCTGTGAAGACTGTGATTTCAGCAGCTGGCAATCTCAAAAGAGAAAATCCAACCATGAATGAGGCAAGTTCTTCTTGACAATATTGCAGAGTTAGTAGGATGTCTTTTTGTACTGTGAAGAATGACCTTTGAAATAATTAGAACATAGTTAAATACCACTTCCCCCTTATGTCTGAAAGTTGCTAAAGTATTTAGATTTCCTTTTCATTTTAACATTATATCTTAATTTCTGTTCCTGAGGAAAAACTCAGAGTAGCTAACATCAAAACAAGTACAGTAATTATATCATAATACTATTAAATTCAGATTAACATTTAAATAAGTAAATAATAGTTCGGAAGCATAATAGCAATTTAGCATTTTAAAACATTTATTCACTTCATTAAGTTTTATCCTATCTTATATTGAGTTGAATGTTCAAGGAGCAGCAAAAAACATAAACTTAATTAGAGATAGCTGTTGACTTATGGCCATCTTGAACCTGGAATTTAAGTTGTAAGTCATTGCAATTATTGTTTATTACGTCTATGTGACCGTCTCATTTAAGACTGCAATCCACCTCTCCTTGTTGCAACCATTAAGCAACCATGTGGGTCATTAAGCAGATGGAATGAAAAAACTGCTTATCAAAGGGAGGCAGGCAGTTCTCTTCCATACTCAGAAGGAAACTGCAGTGGTGGCCAGACCAGTTCCGCAGTTCCTACAAAAGATGTCTTGTGCCTAATAATTCCTCTTCCCTCTGTCAACAGAAGAAAATTCTGTCGTGATATCCAAACAGGATTTTAGCATGAAACATTTACAGCACAGGACATTTGGTGCCAGCCCCCAGAAATGACAGGAAGTCCTCTCGTTTCTGGGGACCAGTTGCAAACACCCCATGCTGCAAATGCCCTGTGCCAAAACCCCACTTAGATTTCAGGAGGGACCTTTTTCATCCAACCTCCTTAACAATAAAAGTTTTGCCTCCGTTGATTTCATCCTCACTCTATGAAGTAGCACATCACTCTCAAGGAAGCTGGGTGAAAAAGCTCATCCCCAAAGCCAACTGGGATGTCCCACTTGGATTTTGTGGCAGACCATTTTCAACCAGCCCCCAGGAACTAGAAGGAGTCCTTTGATCAAGCAGCCAAGTTTGTAACTTTCCCTGCTGGTTTCCCTTTGGCAGAGAACATTGCACATGGCGACTGAATGATTGTGGGGTACTTGGCAGCCCACTGTAAATATGACAAGGTAGCAAAATGCTCAGATTGCAACCGTTTCATTGCAGGGGTACTGCAATGGCCATAAGTTCAGCTTTGTAAACCCTTTTTTAATTCCAAATGGTGGCTGACCCATTGATCATTAAGCAAGGACTACATGTAATGATTAACAATTAAAATATTAAGAGTTGACAACACCTGGCTGATTAAGGGAAGACTTGAAAAATATGGCTTATGTTGACATTTGCATTCACAAAAATGATCTGCAATAGACTCAGTACGTTTTATTTCTGAATAAGCATTGTATAAGCATGTATAAGTAAGTAATCTTCCCCTTTTACTTTACAATATTTGTTGGCTTTATTCCAGTGAGGTAGAAGGCTTCATAGGAGGCTTCATATAGAATTCCTTATTGGCCAAGTGTGATTGGACACACAAGGAATTTGTCTTTGTTGCATATGCTCTCAGTGCATAAAATACACAGAAAAATAAAATTCATTCATCAAGAATCATAAGATACAATACTTAGTGATAATCATAGGTTACTAATAAACAATCAAATCATACTAGGAAACAAATAAAACAATATAAATTGTAAAGATACAAGCAACATGATTATAGTCAAAAGTGGGAAGAGATAGCTAGTAGGAAGGATGAGAAGAAGAATAGTAATACAGTCTTAGTAAATAATTTGACAGTGTTGTGGGAATTAGTTGTTTAGCAGAGTGATGGCATTTGGAAAAAAGCTGTCCTTGTGTCTAGTTGTTCTGGTGTGCAGTGCTCTATAGTGTCGTTTAAACAATTTATGACCAGGATGTGTGAGGTCTGGAGATATTTTCACAGCCCTCTTTTTCACTCGTGCAACATACAGGTCCTCACTGGAAGGCAGGTTGGTAGCCATTGTTTTTTCTGCAGTTCTAATTATCCATTGAAGTTGGTGTCATATTATAGCAGTATGCATATAGCACAAATTATTTCATTGCATCTGACTCTTGTAAAATGTAAATCTTACAATTTTCATTGATGAGATAATAATAAATTAAAATTATCTCAAAATATTCATTTCCTTCCTATACATATTGTAATTTTTACCCATATATGATATTGGAACTAGATATAAGATAGAACAGACCCATTCTTACTGTATCTGCTTACCATCCAAACTGAAAAGTTTTGTAAAATACTTTTCGTATCATTAATATTTAGCCATTGAGGGCAAAGCTGATCATGCCGATAGGAACATAATTTCCTAATATTTTATTTTAATGGTTTCTAGGAAATGATTTGCTTAAGGGCTATCAAAGATGTCAATGTTCCTAAATTCCTGCAAGATGATCTCAAGCTGTTCAATGGTATAATTTCTGATCTATTTCCCATGATCAAAGAAGAAACTATTGACTATGGCATTTTGGAGGAAGCAATTCACAAATGCTGCCTAAAAGACAATTTGAAAGATGTTGATGGTATGCAAAACATATGCTATCTATTTTTTTCCACCATACGCTGTATTACTCTCACATTTAAAAATATTGCCATTCTTGCTACATAACAGAAAAGCATTGGAGTCGCAGGAGGGCTGGGTAATTTGTCATCCCACACAGTCTATAATTCAAGTTTCCTGCCTCAGCTCATACATCAATTTGGGAGAATAATATTGTTAATGCTCACATGAGCAATCTATGTAAAATATTTTGTCTGATCTTACTACTCCAATAAGATTGTAAATTAAAATTGTCTATCTACAAGCAATTAGTACTTTGCATCTCAGAGGCTCCTAAAAATTTTTTGGTGGAAAATTGGTCAAGGTACAGTAAGTTCAATTGAGAGCCAGGTTAGTGTAGTGGTTAAGGCATCAGGCTAGAAACTGGGAGAGTGTGAGTTCTAGTCCTGCCTTTGGCACAAAGGCAGCTGAGTGACCCTGGGCCAGTCATTCTCTCTCAACCCTAGGAAGGAGGCAACGATAAAAACCTTGTCAAAGAAAGTTACAGAGATTTGTCCAGGCAATCTCTGACAATCAGATACAATTAAACTAGGGGGATGGGGAGCTCTTATGCAGAATATGTGATATAGAGTGAGGAAAATCTCATTTATCTAAAGAAAAGAAAAAAGAAAACATAAATAAATTCAATTCCCCTCTCCAGATTTCATTTAAGATCCAGATTCTTTATATTTTCAAAAGAGTTGGATAAAATACTGAAGAGTAAGAGCAATAGGGCACACTTGGAACGTGACATTGTTTATTTATGCGAATCTATGTAGCATTTGCTATAACAATCTTCAGCCAAGAGCCAGATACTTTCAACTAATAATATAAATAATAAATTATTAACACATCAGTGCATTCAAAGAAGAGCAAATAATATTTTCGATAATAAAAACACTGATGGTGGTGGGCAAGTTGCCAAGTATATTTTCTTAGAGAATTCCACATGCAAGAAGCTTTTAAAAAGCTCATTGATAGAAACATTTACATACCCTATCATGTCTTGGTATCTAATCCAAAACTACTAAAGAATTAAGTAAGTATATGCTGCTGACATCTCATGTCCTATCCTGTGAGCACAGAGGTTTCCTATGTAGGTCACCCAAATTCACAGCAGGCTTTCCAAGGCATTGCTGCCTTAATTCACAGCTCTACAGCTAGTAAAAGCCACCAGGAGGCATTTCTGGTCTGAATCTTGTTTTGCTCCAGGTTTCATCACCAAGTGTATTCAGCTGTATGAAACAACAGTGGTACGGCATGGCCTCATGCTGGTGGGGCCCACAGGCTCTGGAAAAACAAAGGTAAGCATTGCTGAAGACTTTGTGATAGAACAAGAAAGGGAACTAACTCCAGAAATTTCCTCCACCACTATCAATTTCTTTTCTTTAATCCTCTCTTGCCAAATACAGTAGCAGCCTCTATAGGAGAGCTTTGAAATTAACAGGTTAGAATTAAAGGGCTAAACTGAATCTATATGTTGTTTGGAAAAGCCTCATTAAGGTGAGTATGGCTGATTTTGAGCCTCCAGAGCATTAGCAAGATTTTGACAGCATATTCTTGGCCAGTATGTCATTGACATTCAGAAATGTGGGATCACTCTCTTTTTTCTATTTCTTTTCTGACTGTGTCTGCTTTTTATAAATGTTAATTGTGCCAAAACCTGGGATAAAATCCTGCATTACTACTTTATATTGTTGAAGATCCATGGTGAATTTGGGCTATTGTCTTAGTCTTGAAAGAGATGCTTATGATGCTTCCTTCTATTATACATTTTTCTTCAGTGTTATAAAGTTTTGTCAGCTGCGATGACATCTTTGAAAGGTCGGCCTTCAGTCAGTGGTGGAAATTATGAAGCTGTCAGTTACTTTATACTGAACCCTAAATCTATAACTATGGGCCAGCTGTATGGAGAATTTGACTTGTTAACTCATGAATGGTAAAAGACAAAACTTATCTTTCTCTTTTCTGCGTTAATTGGATTTTGTATTTCTTCTTTCCAGGAATTAAAACTCTGTATTAATGGAAACTTAACTAAACTTTTTGTAAAATTATAAAAAATCTAACTGCAAAAGATTCAGGCTTGATCCAGGAAAAGTTGAGCATCTGATTTAGTTTCTGCCAATATTCATATGACTTTGAATATTTAACTTTGGTTGGATCACACCTTTTCTTTTCAGCTTTCAACATTTTTGCGTATATATTTAATGAAATAATTCTTTCATAATAGTGCTGCTGTGGTTGAGTCATTCTGAACCTGAACAAGGTCATCTTCCTTTTATAAAAAAAATGAATTAAGTCACTTTGTGAGATAATTATTTGAGAAACAGCAAAAATTGATTAATCAGTCACTAATGTAATATATCCATTTTGGTATAAAATTCATCTCTTCATTTTTCATTAGCTATAATTTTTAATCTAAATAGACAAAACCAAAAGCATTTAGGAAATCCCATCCACCCCCAACCCCATCCTTCACAGTCATCTTTTCACTCTCTGCATTAAAGGTTTCCTCGTACATAAAATGAAACAAATTCTGTGGTTTTCTGTACTTATTGTACAAGTATATGCCCTATACTTTACATAGTATACTGGAGAGCTTACGGTTCAGGAATGAGACAATAAGGATATCTATATGCTGGAATATCAATTTTCCTGCTCCTCTTTTATTTACTGTATCAAATGTATACTTCTTTTACCAAACATGTAACCCTGTGCAGATACAAAAAGCAATAGAAGTAACTTAGCATGAAACTGTGCTAAGTAAAACTTTTACGGTATATCTTTACTTGTAAGCTTCTTAGATATGGGCACATATTTACTCAAGTTTTTCTTTAGCAAATTGTGGTTGAATTGTGTGGACTAATTTACAGTATAGGTTTTGCCTAAAGGTTGATATATAGATCCGTCTGAATGACCCCCCCAAAATAAAAAATACAACAGCCATAAAAGCTATTTCACAGACAGAAAACCATCTGTTCTCTCCAGCTGGCTTCAGAAAGTTTTATTTAAAAAAAATCTTGTAAAAGGAGACTTGAATATCTTCAATATTTAAATAGAGACGAATAATAATTATAACAGTTTATATACTGACAGTGATAAAATGGCCTAAATCCAGTAGCCTCTGGGGTTTGATGCATGTTTTTATAACATGTATGTAAAAACCTGATACCTGATACCACAGGTATATTTTTATGTACCTGATCCTACAAAGTTAGCAAATGGGAAACACAACTTCCCATCCTCCTCTTTGACTTCCGGTATCTTCAAATATATGTATAATGCTTTTAAAGGTGGCTCAGTGGGTAAGACGCTGAGCTTGTCAATCAGAAGGGTCGGCAGTTCAGTGGCTCGAATCCCTAGTGCCACGTAATGGAGTGAATTCCCATTACTTGTCCTAGCTTCTGCCAACCTAGCAGTTTGAAAGCACATAAAAAATGCAAGTAGAAAAATAGGAACCACCTTTGATGGGAAGGTAACAGCGTTTTGTGCGCCTTCAGTGTTTAGTCATGCCGGCCACATGACCTCAGAGACATCTTTCCACAGCGCTGCCTCTTCGGCTTTGAAGCGTAGATGAGCAGTGCCCCCTAGAGTCGGGAATGACTAGCACATATGTGCAAGGGAAACCTTTACCTTTATAATGCTTTTATAAAATATATGAGATTCAAAGAGAGTGTTCAACTATTAAAAACTTGGGTATTTCTCTCTTTCTATTTTCATAGGACAGATGGGATCCTCCCTGCTCTCATTCGGGTAGGAGCTGTAGCCACTGATAAAAAAAAGAAATGGTACATGTTCGATGGCCCTGTGGATGCAGTTTGGATTGAAAATATGAACACTGTGCTGGATGACAACAAGAAACTCTGCCTTAGTTCTGGTGAAATAATTAAACTAACAGAGGTATTTTCTCTCTCCCATTTTGTTTCATTACACAACTTCAATATTCCTTTGTGTCCATTCATAAACAGATTCCAATTCATTTATGTTTGTTTTTAAAAAGGGTCCCTCACGGTGAAGAGAGATAAATAGATAAATAAGTACAGATATATGATCTGAAAATCAAGGTGATGATTGGAGGTTTTTACTTTTTCAAAAGAAACTTTCCTACTTTTTAATTTATAAAGGCCAATGCTTTATTAGCCTCTAATTCCATGTACTTGAGGAATGTAGATAACTGAATTTAGGGAGCTTCCCATTTTATAAATATAATCCCATCTGTGTAATTTCAATGTGCTCCTTTGATAAAAAAAAGTTTGGGAAAATCTCTGCTATCTTGTCTCTCATTTCCAGGCAATGACCATGATGTTTGAAGTCCAGGATTTAGCAGTGGCCTCTCCGGCTACTGTGTCTCGGTGTGGCATGGTATACCTGGAGCCCAGCATCTTGGGTTTAAAACCATTTGTGGAATGCTGGCTAAGAAATATTCCAGACATTATGAAGCCATTTTCAGAGCAGCTGGAATCACTTTTCAACAGATTTTTAGAGGTAAGCCATTACTCGATCCTAATATTTTGATTCAATACAAACCAAGTAAGTGGGTTCAAAGCTTAGCCCGGGGTGTGTGGGGGAAGGGGGGCATTAGTCATGAACTTCTCACCTCTGATTACAGAAGCTTGAGAGCAGCTAGTAGGCAGTTGGCAGGAACTTTTGCAGGAGGTAACCTTCCTCATAATTCCAATTAATTTTAATTGGTACCATAATAGTAAAGTGTTCTACAGACTGAGCTTCTGTGCACAATGGCATTTTCCCACCTTGAAAGGCCTGAGATAATGACTGCTGCATGTATGCTTCAGGTTAATATCAGACTTTGGCATTTTTGAGTCTGAGCTCTTTTTTCCACTTGTTTTGTAATGTGAGTTGTAGGTTGGTGACAATGCTAATTTTCATGCTTCCCTGCAATGTTTCTTGAGATATTAATATTAAAACAGTAACAGAAAGACTCTACATCCTAAGACGCACAAGAAAATGTTTCTGGTCTTTATCTCCTTGTTATGCTAAATTCAGATTTTTTTTCTTCCATTAACTTAGAAAAACAAAAACAAATAGCTCTGAAACCTACATTTGCCATGTCAAGTCTATTATAATTTCATCTAATATAATTTCACTTTTGGGAAAAATTAGCTGCAACAAGAGCTTGATTTGGATTTTGACTGTAGTGTAGATTTGACAGTTCTAACTTTTTTTTTCATATGTTCCATATCCTCAGTCCACCACAATCTACAGATGCCTGGCTGTGAATGCCCAGAGCCACAAAGAATGGATATTAATGTAGAAGATTTAAAATTCAATTGTACATATTTTCACTCTTGTTAATGTCAATGTTACTTATACCCAGCAAGGTTGCTCAGTCTCTGCTGGTGCCTGTTCTCTAGTTGAACTGAAGAGTATTAAAAGTACTACTTAAAAAGCAATGATTATAGAAGAGTTAGCTGCTAGAATAAAAGGGGAGGAAAACATAAAGGTTCAAGATAAATCTAAAAACAATTAACTCTGGGTCTTCCTTCATTTCAGGAATCTGTCAGTTTTGTCAGAAATTCAGTGAAAGAAATAATTGCCTCCACAGATTCTAACTTGACAAGAAGCCTTGAGAAGTTATTGGACTGTTTTTTTCACCCCTTCATTCCCATTGAGGTAGGATTACATGATGCTCATATTCCCAATGGAAACACTGTAATATAATGAATTATAATGCATTATGATAACAATTGTATGTATGTATATGTATATGTGTTACATTTTTACTGATAAAGAAATGAAGGGAGGCTAGTATAGATCTATTTCCCTTGCTGGGATTCGAACTTGGGCTGCTTATATATTAGGCAGTTTTATTAACCTCTAAGCCACAAGTTCTCCTCTCTTTATCAGCTGAGCCAGGGGAGTGATTAAGTATTTTTCCTTCTGTCAAAGCACCTGCTCTGCTCAAATATGGGAGGGAGCATTCTGCTTCCCTTTCACCTTTCAGCCCCACTTTGTGTGTGTGTGTGTGTGTGTGTGTGTGTGTGTGTGTGTGTGTGTGTATGTATGTATGTATGTATGTATGTATGTATGTATGTAGCTGGATTTTGAATCCCAATGATAATCTTATCATTAGGGGTCCTTGGGCAATGAACCCCTAGGATTTAACCTGCCTACCTCTGATATGAGCACAACATGAACTAGGAGAGTCACACCAGCTCAGATGTTGCCCAGATTAACAAGGACCACACCACATGTTGGGGAATCAGGACAATCTGATGAACAAATCATATGTGGACTAAACAAGAAAAGCTGGAAATGATGAAATGCTATTACAGTAGCAGACTTAATGAGAGGGAATATATGAACCATATGAGGGAATTATGTATGGATGTTCATACTAACTGAAAAACAGTTAGTTCCCTAGTGTTTCAACATAATGAAGAGGAACCTGCTCTACAATTTGAAATAGGCCAATTACACATTATATCCAAGATTTAAGAAGACATAGAAAAACAACTGGATGTACAGCCAACACTTGAGATTGCAACATCACTGCCACCCTCTTCATTACAGGGTACAGCAGCTGATATGAGGTACAAGATCTGGATAAACTAGTTACAGTCAAGCCTTGAAACTAATTACCAAGACTCAGTGGAGAAGTACCATCAGAGAATATGGTAGTTGATACCAACAGAGCCAATCTCTACTACCACTATAACTCAAACCAATGAACTGGTCGACTCTACAGCTGCTTTAATCCTGGAGATTCTTAGCTACATGATTAAGAAGAACAGCAGAATATACAGCATTGGAAAATGAGGTTGGAGGCTAAGATCAAAGCAACTTGGAGAGAAGTTAGATAGTGGATCTATAGAAGATGTGGAAATTAAGGATAAGACTTGGCTACTCAAAAAATGCAAGCCTATAGAAAGGCTCACAGCACTTGCTAGCAAGCTAAGCAGATACACTAGTAACGCGAAAGTCAAGAAGACAAATGCCCTGTTCTCCAAAGAAACATCTAAGGTGTACTCACAACTCTAGTGCCACAATATAGTGCAGGTAGTCATTGTCTTATGACCATAATGGAACTTGACCATTATGGTTGCAGGTCATCATGATTGTTAAATGAGATAACCATATGATTACCTCGCTTAAAGGTTCTCACCCTTGCTCCCCCTAATATGGATGTTAGGTAGACCACCAGGTGCATCAAGGATGAGGCCCTGGGAATTGTTAAAGCCGTAACATCTTAACAGTTTCTGTTAATTAAGAAGACAAAAAAACTCCACCCTGGCTTACTATATAGCACAGCTCAAACAATTGGCATTTCTTTTTGCAATGAAAGAATTTCCCAATGGTCATTTTGTTGACACTTTATGCAAGTTACTTGTTTAGATTGTACTGAATCTTTCACAATTCCTCTCAAGCATTAATCTGTATTGTTGCTTTTGTATATTTCTTAATTCATCTGAAGATTCTAGTTCTTGTTCTCTTAAAGAATCTCAAGAGACTGACAAAATGTAAATGTGGTCAGTGTTGAAGAAGCTTGTTTTCAGTTAATAAAGCCTCAGTCTCCCCTCGGGCATTTCCGATTTGCAGTTGTATAGAAGTTTTCCTTAAGCATTTTCACAACACAATTTTCTCTCACATACTTATCCCAAGGCCTCATCACAGCAACTGATCATGTAATGAAAGAGAAATTGGGAGGGGACAATGCTGCACAGTTTGAATGGTAACATGTACACATGTTGTTATCTCCTTTGTTAAATTTTGCCATTGATTAACATTTGTTCTTGCTTTGATTCCCCCCCCCCCACACACACATTTTTCTTTCATACATTAATTGGAGCTCCAAAAGAGCTGTTTCTTCAATCTTTCCCCTTGATCTGTTTCCTAGTATTCAGTTCTATCATGCACTGAGAATCTAACCAAGGGTTTCCTCAACTGTGATCAATTTATAGCAATTTCCACAGAGAGATCAGACTAGCTGCCTTAGCACAGAAAGACAAGGATATTGTTGTGGTCCGCCAGTGGAGCTGGCAGCAGAGTTAGACAGTGATGGGGTTGGAGAGGAACCTGGGCCAGTCCTGAGTCTGGGGAAGGCTCTGATGAAGGCTCTGTGTTGGAGGCAAAGAGGGGAGCTGAGCTGTATGCCAGTTATCAGTTGCCTTCAGAGTCAGACATCAGTGAAGCAGACAAACAGCTGGAGCCTGTTCCTGGTGTGCACATGCACAGAGTTGCCAGATGAAGGGAATAGCTAAAGAACAGGGGTCGACTTGAGAGCAAGGCCACGGGTGGACAATGAATGACCCCTCCCAGAGGAAATAAAAGAGGAGTGAAAGGGGAGTGGGGTTTGCAAGAGACAATAAGAATGTTTGATTGGTTTGTGACTCTCGAGACTCCTTGCCAAGTTTTGCAGGTTTTGCAGATATCTGCTTGTCAGCTGTCCAAGCCAGATAAGGTCTTTGATTGTAAATCCTCTCTTGAAAAACTTTGTTGGATGTGAATGAGCAGAATTCACAGTAAATTAATAAAAGAAGTTTTTGTCGGGACAAGGAGTTTGCTTCAGGCTCTTGGGAAGCCTAGATTAAAACAGTTATATAGGTTGGCTACACCTGCTTCAAGTATTCTGGATCTTTCATAATATTTCTGCCAAAGTCTTGGCTTTTTTATCTGCCTAAGTATCTTCAGTTGGACTCAGTTGTGAGAGTTTCAGAGTGGCAGAAGGAGTCAGGAAATACTGCTGAAATCAGCTTTCTGTGGATCAGATTATTACTGCCCTCTTCATCCTTTGATTATCACATTCTATCCACATTGCCTAAATTGTTGAAGAAACTATATCAACAACCAACCAGTTTTTCCATTTTAAAAAAAAAACCTAATGATGGCTGTCAGAAACTTCTCCAGAAAGGAAAATGATCCTTACGTTATCAAAAGTCTAGCCAGGAGATGACTAAGATCTGAGCAATCGTGAGTGCCTCCCAATCCAAGAAAATTGCATTTGTGTAGTCCAAGGAATCCCCCAAATTTTGTAGCAGTTCTGCCTGGAAGAATGAGACCATATCCAGAACTACACAAGGAAGGTCCTGGGATCCAAGAGATCCTAACATCAACAAAATTTTAGTAGGATTGAGCTGAGGACTGTACTTCCCATACAAAACCCCACAACCTCTAGACAACAGAATCCGGATGGTCTCAGCTGGTCAGTAAGGAGTAGGCTTGTATAGCTGATTATCATTTACAGTATATAGTGATGATCATTCCATGGTAGCAGATGATCTCACCCAGCAGTTTCATGTACTAATGGAGAGAGGCTAGAGTCCTATGACATGCCACAAATAGGGGTCTAGGACTAGATCCCTCCTATTCACACCATCTGGAATTCCACATCTCTTTGCGATAAATCACAGGTCTCTAAGTCATTTAAATCTTGAATCTCACAGCTGGATTGGTAATAATTGGGATTGCTTTTGTCTTCCAGGCTGCCCAAAAGTCATTAGTACAGAAATCTTACATATATTCATTTCTCTATCCAATCCATATAACAACCTAGCTACCCAAGAAGCTTTAGCCAGCAAACAAATTAAAAAAGAAATCCATGAAGCCTAAAAAAACAAATGTAAATATTTGGAAGCTCATTTAACCCACCAAACCAAACCAAATCCTGTGTACATCCATTGCAGAGCCCTCCCCCCATGCTAACATTGAACACCATGGCTGAAATTGGAATGGCACCCTTCCTATTTTACTCACGATGTAGAACAGGGGTGTTAAACTCTCATTGTCACGGTGGCATCATGTGACGTATTGGAGCTTTTTTCCCCTTCACTAAACTGGGGCAGGGGGCAGGGCCAGCATGTGACACATCTGGCCCATGGGCCACATGTTTGACACCCCTGATGTAGAGGAATCATTATCGGCAGCATCTGTGATTGTAGTGTTTAAGTGTTCCTTATCTTTTTATTGTAAAGGTTTAAGCAATTTCTTATTTATGGATTTATCTTCTGTCTGTTTCAGCTATTCATGTTCCAATTATACAATATTCCTGTCATCCAACATTTTTTAAAAGGTCTGACTAACATTTCTGTATCACCCTTAATAGTATTTCTTTTTTGAAGCTTTTCTGTATTTTTTTTACCTGCAAGAGGGTATGAACCTTCATTGAAATAGGATGGCATTTTACCTAATTTTTTACTTTCTAGCAAAGGCATTTCTGGATTTCATTTGAATGAGGAAATTATATTGCCAACTTTTTCCTACTCTGACAACTCATTAGAATAGGTATTCAATTCTTTAGACATGCTGAAGACCTTGGCATTTCCTGTTGAGGAATTTTAGAAAACACAAGGTGTGATGGGAGTACCTAAACCTCTTCACAAAGAATTTCCCATTGCTAAGTAGCCCCCTTTTGACTGTATATTGTCAAAGGAACATATTACTGTTGTTTATGCAGTAGATATGCAATCTCATCTGTTAATTCAGCACTTCTGCTTGCTATTTAAATCATTTGGGCAGAGGGCAAGTATCCACTATAGATAATGGTATCAAAAGTCACCAAGAGGTTCAGGAGAACAAGCAGGGCCATATTTTCCTCTCATCTATTTTCTAGCGTGGGTTCATCGACCAAGATGTCAAAGCAGTTTTAGTAACCTTCCAGCCATACGCCTAAATGAAATGGCTCCAGATTATGATCATAATTGTTCATTAATGTAATGTTCATTTTAATTGTTTGTCTATTTTACATTGCTTTAAAAAATGAGGCAATGAAGTATTTAGTTGAGTAGCAAGGTAAAGTGATAGAAATGGAATACGTTAATAAATCAAACATAAATACTGAATATTTGAGAAGTTTTGGAAATAAGTGGTTTTTTAAAAAATTGATTCTTCAGGGAATGAAAAAAATGCCTCCAGAGAAGACAGCTCGTATTGGTGAACTGATAGAATCCTGGTTCATATTTGCTTTGATATGGAGTGTTGGTGCAACTGGAGATGCCCCAAGTCGAGTCGCCTTCAGTAATTGGTTAAGAAAGAAGATGTCAGATGAGAAGGCAAGTTAATGGGAAAGGGATATTTAGATTTAGATTTTAGATTTTATTTATTACTTATAGGCCGCCCTTTTCCCTGAGGGGACTCAGGGTGGCTTACAATTCATGGGAGGGGGAGTGCAAGACAAAACA